ATATACATACATATATACAAATATTTTTAAATATACTTATATACATCAAAACACAACAAACGATCTATTTCTTTATTTTATTCAACATTTTTGATGACAATAAAAAATATATATTTTTTATAGACGCATTTCATATCCAGATGCAGGGATTACCATATTTTGACCAGCAATATTTTTTCTAGCTTTAAGCTTCGCTAATTCGTTCAATAAACCACAACAAAAAAAGCCCCGCTATTCCTGTTAATTGAATGTGTGTTAATGTGTGTGTGTGTGTGTGTGTGTGTGTGTGTGTGTACTTGACTGTTCGTGTATGCGTATTCAGCTTTCTTTTACACTAAAAGCTTATCTAAGCTTAACGAACAAGCCGAGTTTAAGGAGAAGGATGAAAGAATTGGGGAGAGGAAAACGTAATGAGAGAGACATATAGAGAGATACATATATGAGAGAGAGAGATATAGAGCAAACAAGGGGAACTAGAGAGACAGCGAAATAAAGAAGAAAGATCAGAAACAAGAAAATAAAAGTAGGGAAAGGGAGACAAGTAAAAAAGAGACAATGTAAAAGAGAGACAATGTAAAAGGAGAGAGATAGAAAAAAGAGCGAAGAGAAAGGAGAGATATTAACAATAAAGCGATGTTAGATGAGGTAGAGATACAGAAGATGAGAATGTTGAAAGAAGAAAAAAGAAAGAGAAGCTAAAGAAAACGCGCTGAAAGAGCGAGGGGATGCGGGTGAGCAGAAGAACAGAAAGAAGGACAAGGAAGAGAAGGAGAGATATATATATAAAAAGAGAGAGAGAGAGAGAGAAGGAAGAGTGAGAGAGAGAGAGAGCGAGAGGGAGATAAAGAGGAAGCTTTAGATAGGAAGAGTGAGATAGAGCGAGAGCGAGGAAGGAAGAGCATAGAGAGAGGGAGAGAGAGAAGGCGAGCGAGAGGTAGACAAAAAGAAAGAGAGAGAAATAATTAGCAAGGACACTTCACCCGAAAGGTAAGCGGAACTATTGATATGCCCCATCCCCGTTCTTTATTTCTGCCCATGCCATTTGTTACTTACCATTAAATGATTCCATTGCAAATTTAACAACAATAAAAGGAAACTACAATAGAATTTATGTTTTTTTTTTTTGCTTTTAGTTTTTGTTTTATTTGAGTGTTATTTTTTTTTTCGTTCATTTTTTTTTTTTTTTTTCATTTCATTTTTCGTTTCATTGTTTAAAAATGTGTTTCGCTTCCTCGATCTTCATTTTTCTTTTTAGTTTTATTTAGTTTTCTCTTGGTTTTCTC